GGGAGAGGGAGAGATTTAATGGGAGCATAGATGTAAATAAATCCATCAGATATATGACCACACCCCACTGACACCCCTGATATAATCTGCAGACCTACAGAAATTATGCCTTGTGTGGGTTTGATTAGCCATTACAGAGTCAGGGTACTATATTAAGAGGATACAGATGAATTTTCCATGTGTACAGACTGGCTGGCTGGCTTAAGATGCAACAGCCAACACTTTGTGCAACGTATCGGTAGTAATACCTAAAGTAGACAACTTTGTCAAAGAGACATCGGTGTGTGTTTCAAGTTCTGTAATGTGTTGCTATTTAATACATTAAACTGCCCCTGAGGTAACGACCGTGTTCCATGTCCTTGCTGTTGATACTTCCATGAACACCCATGCACTCAGCACGGTCACAAAATGCTCCTGGTGCAAACATGCAATGCTTGGTCAAGTTTTGTCCTCACCAAAAATCAACCGAGAGCCAGTCACAAGACATGTGTAATGAATGTCACTTGGCTGGTAATCAGTTTTTGGTGAGAGAACATTTTCAACTATTTGTGTTTACCAGGTCTATGAAACTGGTCCAAATGTGCCAGGCAAAATCTTCCCCTCTATCTTAAAACTTACACGCTTGAACTGACACTTTTAAATCAAATCGATCTTAAAGTTTAGCAGCAGTAAAATGGGGTTTAAGAAAAAGATTATACACACTGTGATGGCAAATGTACACAACCCTAAAAGATTGCACGATATTTACAACTCCAAGGGCAAGTGGTGTTGACATGAATCTTCCATCGTTCCACACACAGCAAACCTTCGAGTACTGTCAACAACTCAAAATGAATGTTATTTACACCAAACACTAAAATTAATGCTATCTCCAGATGTATGCAGCTGAGCTAGTCGAAGGCAGCTTTCCCTCACAGCACAGGAGTCATAAAAAAGGATTAATAATAAGTATAACATGTATATCACTTCCCCAAAATTCAAGTAATCATTCCATTCTCAGCAGTCATGTAAAAAAAGTGAAAGTCATTGATCTTGGAGATTTTAAGTGGAAGCTTAGACATACCAGACATGCCCAACAATCTGACAGAAAAATAGTTGAATATTTTCATCCAGGAAAAGCCAGTATCAAATCATTCACCAATGAATGATCTTGGTCTCTAGGGTTTGCAAAAGCATATTGAATTTGTTGGCACTAGAGAAATGAATCCAGCATCAGCACTTAGAATATACTCTGGTGTCAGAGCTTTAGAAGTGGATTATTAATGCTGTTACTAATCAATCAGCGAGTGAATGTGTTGGCCTTAGGCATAAAACCAGCTACTTGCAAACATGACACGTTTTCCTAACAAGTTCACTAAATGTGTAACTTGGGTATCCGGCTCTGAGCAGGGGAAGGAATTGGGTTAGGGGGCTAGACGTTGCTGGCTTAAAGGGACCTTGCAAGTGGAGATAAAAAGTCTAGCTCTTGGTTGGCAGGTTAGTACATAGGCATAAATTACTGTGGGGGACCAAGAAATTACCTTTTCCAAAATCTGGTATTACACGTACTGATTTGACTTAAGCCTTGGGAGGAGACTAGTGGGTTTTGCCTTGTTACTCTTCTTCACTGTTTTTATTAGTCCACTTAAGAGGTTAGAGCCATACACCTGTACATGATATGTGGTCTAATATTGGCATTGCATGTACATGTACGGTATTTACTGCAGCTGCGCATTAATTCAATGTCACTGCACTGTGCTGTGAGAGGACACGCACATATGCCAGTCTGGCTGACCGGGAGCTTTCCAAAGATTCCGGTGGGCCAATCTTTCATTTTTTGAGGCTCGTGTTGGGCGCTCTGAACTGAGTTCCTAGTTTCAAATGGATGAAAAGAGATTCCACAGAACTGTGCTGCCGTACACGTAGCTTATTTTCAGCAGGATACAGTTAGGGGGTTGTTTTTGCATTTCTTTCTTCTGTCGTCTGGGGCTTGATGTCTCCGGGACGTACCCCCTCCAATAAACCAAGCCATCAGTAAAATTCTTCTCCATGTGTGCTTTTGTCACCGGGTCCAGGGGAATCCCTTCCCCTCTCCCCGTCTCTCTGCTCAGGCAGTGACGACCCCGTAGACACGCCCTCGCATGATACTACACAGACCAACAATGTAATTATGATTTGCATGCTGTCAAATTCTCAAATTGGAGTACTTTGTGGCCCATGGACTGGAGGTATTGAAAAAAAAAATGCAAAGTGGAAGCCAAGGACAGGACTGCCAGCCAGACATAACTCGGCCCTCAAAAAAGGCTTTGTTAAGCAATGGAGCATAGGCATCAATTTTCTACATGGTGTTGAGCTTAGTGACCATTTTTACAGGTGATATGTTTAGATAGAAAGACATGCATCTTCAAAAGTCACTGGATAACCTATCAAAAATTAAAAATTAAATGAAAGATAAGAATTTGAAATGAGAATGATTTGATGAGAATTTGACAAATGTCTTCAACATCTACGGAAACTTGTAATTCCTGAGTTTTTGAAGTGGGGGTATGCATCAGTTTATTGTGTACGGCAGGTTCTTCATTAGGTTGCTACCCTAGCTTACAATCTACACAAATTGAGGGCAAAAGTATCATTAAGAGATTCTATGTATGAGGTCAGAATACCATGCTGTTATTGGATGTACATTGTTGACGAGCTTTCCCTTGATCCTTTGCATCAAGTATTCTGTACAGAGATGAAATGACTTGCACCAGTGGTGTTTATTGAGATCAGTGAGCTCAAGAAGCAAAGATAATGAATTTTCATGAGCACATTGCTTTAGAGCTGAGTTGTAAACTCAAGTCACTTGACATGGACTCGAGTCGCTATTTTTATGATTCAAGACTTGACTTGTAACTGTCAGTTTTTGACTTGTGACATGACTTGGACATGTGCATTAAGACGTTACCAACGCAAGTTAGAAAACTACTCAATCAAACCCTTACGCCTCACATTCTTAAAATGATCAGTGTGAGACTTTATTTGGCTCACAACTTGTACATGTACTTTGGCTGCCCAAGGCCATGTCTGAATCACTTGGCTGAGGCTTGAATCACACATGACTCCATCTAAGGATTTGCCGAAGATCCCAATATCTGATCACTTTTTGAATATTTGAATATTATTTTTTGAATTTGAATATTCGAATGAAAAATTCATAAAAAAGAAGGGAAAATTTTCTTTTGTTTTATATGAGAAAAATTGCACTGTGGAGGCTTGTTTCAAGCAGATTCAACTGAAAAGTGACAGAAATCTTACGACTCAAAAAGTTAATTTATATATTAAAACTTTTAAAAGGAATAGAAATTTTCAACGGGGCAAGAAGTCTTGTTCATATCTTAATCTTGCTTAATTGTGGCTGGAGATGCTCCTAGACATGAGAAGCTATTATAGTGATTGTAACGTACATGTGCATTGTGTGTGTTGTTGCAACTAATTTTGTACATGGTTCAATCATCGACAATCTGCCAGTTAGAAAGACTAAATATTTGATCGAATTGAAGGTTGAATATTTGAATAGTAAATTATTTGAACTGACTCAGCCCTATCTCCATCGGTGGCTATGGCTAGCCACTACCATAAACTTGTACATAATTTCATGCCGTAGCCAAGTGAAAATTCAGACGCAGCCCTTCATAAGACCCCTTGTATGAGTATAGTGCCCTCAGTATCGTCCTAGGTCATCGACAGTCATAACCACATGATGCGATTTGAATTGCTGGTATACCCGGTACATGTGTACTGACTTTTTCTTAACAATACCTAGGGAAAAACATTACAAAGAAAAAAACCATGCCAACTGGTGACCGTGTTTCGCAGACGTTTGAAATCCAGATTAGCTATCTTCTGAGGAACTACACCCTGTCCATCACTCAAACTCAGACTCATCATGATGGATGTTACAAATACTCAGTTTTAGTACTCGCTCTTCAGATTATTCACGACCACACTCATTTTCCTAAACTCATGATGACTGTGATTTCATGACTAATCACAACCTTGAGTCAAACTTATTATGCTCGTTTGTATTGATTCGTATTTATGATTGTCCCACACATTTCTGAAACACCAATTGCTTCTTTTTTTCAACATATTATTGTACATTTTACTCCTGCTGGTGCATACATAGATTTGAAAATAGCTATAAATTAGGTTTTAACCCTAACATTCCTCAGTCCTCCAACAGGTGAAGGATTGAGGAGTGTTAGGTTTAAGGCCACTCTGGGACTGTCTCCTGCATGCAAACTTGCCAAATCCAGTCATGCGATGCTTCTATCAAGGGAACAAATGTGACTGACTCTAGAAAAATGGGTACTAAGTCACCAGATTGAGGTTAGGAGTTTTTGGTATGGCTCGATTCAGTGCATCAAAAGCTACAATTTGATACATGAATGACCCCTGCAGTGTGTTGCGTTCCAGAGATACATAGACATTTGCATATCTACATTTTCAGGTTCAATAAAAGAACTTTTCGAGGAATAGCACATAAAGTGTAGTGCTTGGAAACACAATTCTATATAGAATTTCCTACTGATTGATAAATTTTTCATTTTTATTCATCAGTATTCATGTTTGTAGTCACAAATTCTGAAAATATAAATAATATAGAGGAAAAAAGGAAAAAACACAAAATTGTATTTTCGCAGAAATTTTGCCTTCTCCAAATAGAGCAGGCCATTATGTGTTTTGGCATTGCGTGACTTAATACCCCTTTTTGCAGAGTGGGTCACAAATAGTGAAGTCTTCCAGAAGTGAATTTGACAGTGTGGTCCTTGAAAAATGACTTTGCCAAACTTTAGCGTTATACCGGTACCATTGCCAGGCATGACCACAAAGTGACTGATATTGGCAATGACTCTAGCATCTAGGAATACTCCTGAGCCCAGTGGAATCAAGGTTTTCTAACTCGTAATGACTGCCACAAACATGACATTTTCAAATTCTAAAGTATGTTTCCATTTCTTGTTGCTTTTTGTTGCCAGAACAAGCTACGGGCCAGTCTGTAACTGAAGGAAGAGATTGAGGCTTCAAGGTATCGATGATCTACAATGGAAAGAACCAATCATCTCTTCGTGATTTCCATGCTCCTTCTCCTTCTGCTCTCCGATAGACCAAAGGAGACAGAGTCTACATCTAGAGACCTCAACACATCGGACATCTGTTGCCCTGGCGATGCAGGCATGCCCGGTGAAGATGGTTTTCCCGGTTACCCAGGACGGAAGGGAATGCCGGGGAGGCAAGGGCAGAAAGGAGTGCGCAGGGACGGGGAGAGAGGTGACAAAGGAATAGTAGGGCCCCCTGGAATTAAGGGGGACATGGGAGAGATAGGTCCAAAGGGACAAGCAGGCGGGGAAGGACTGAGGGGCCCTCTAGGTGAAGCAGGACCCAGGGGGGACCAGGGAGGTAAAGGAGACAAGGGATTCAAAGGGGACACTGGGGAGGTTGGAGATGCTGGGCCGAAGGGGCTCCTTGGGGCCAAAGGGATAAATGGCCTGCAAGGAATTAAGGGGGGGAATGGGACCAAGAGGAAGGGCAGAAAGGGCCTGCAAGGAGAGAGGGGGGAACCAGGGCCAGTAGGATCCAAGGGGGTGATTGGACCACCTGGTGTAGGGCCTAGGGGCCCGCGGGGGGTCCAGGGCAAAAAAGGGTTCGTAGGTGAAAGGGGGACACCCGGCCCAGGCCTGCCTAAAGCTGAATTCATGGTCAGGAACACTGTGTCGCACACTGCTGGCACTTTCCGCATCGACTACAACATCGTGACCAGCATTGGCGGGTACTTTGACTGGGAAGTGGCTCGGTACACCATTGGGGAGTCAGGGACCTATGTGCTGCAGATTGCCACAAATTACATCGGTGGACGATTTCAGCTGATGCACAACTTCTCTCCACTGATCACAGGTTCAGGATTCCTTCTTGCTATCAAAGACTGTCGAGCCGGAGATCAAATCTGGTTACGAATCGAAATTTCGAAGGTATACTTTGAAAATATGGACTTTTGGCTTTCAGGCTACATGCTGTACAATCTTTAATCACAAAATATCAAGACCTTCAGTAAAACCATAGAGCTAGGAACAGGCCAATCTCCTGAAATATAGGGTATGCAAAGGATACTAATTTAGTACATCACATCTCCTTCTAAGATCCTTCTGTTTAAATCATAATGGCCTACATAAGACATGTACTTAAGTTTACTTTTACCAACCATTTTCTCTCAAGCATCTAGTTAGTGAAAAAACAGTGAGTGACACACAGAAGAAGGTATCAAGATCACAAAAATAATAAATTGACTGTGAAATTGTTCTTTCATTAAATGTGACCTGAATTTTACACAAAACTCTTATTTACACTGCATATGCCTACTGCCTGCATGGAGCTTTTCTATGAACAAAGGATCAACTTTGATATCAAAAGATCAGAGCGAGGGATCAACCCTAAGACTGGCCCTGCGGCCTTTATGCATTGTTTACCAAGATGTTCTGACTGCAAACTTTTTAAGGAGGGTAACGGAATTCAAAATGGGGCGTTACCATGCTCTGGGGCAAAATCCCAAGCCTAGGACAGTGTTTCCAGACATTCTGAAGATGGGTGAACAGGGTCTGTTCATGAGTATGAAGCAAACATTCTTTTAGGGCATCTCTTGGGTCACGTAGCACCCAAAGAATGAAAGTCTAATGAGAGGCTTGAGGGGCCAAAGCCAGACTGATTTATGACTTTGGGAGAAGCCTCCTCATTCTGACCAGGAATGCCGCCTCGGTTGGGGGGGGAGACACACATTGGGATGTTATTTGGGTCAGAGTTTTAACTTTTATTGCAAATGTAAACATTTGCGCCCCCATTCCAAACACATCATTAGCCTGATTTACAGCTTCAGTTGTTTCACCATAAAAATATTTATCAGCAGGGATGTACTTCTTCTTTGAGACCATTTACTGCAAAAAATATGGAATCCTGTGGCAGGGTGTGTTAGAGATGGAGTGATTATTCTTGAATTATTGACTAAAACATAACATATGATTCTGAGCTGTCAATACACACAGGGATAACTATTTATTGCTCAACATTAACAACTTTTTAACGAGAGTATTGAAGATTAACCATATGTAAATATTTTTTTTGAAAACTGTAAATATTGTAAAGAGGATAAAGTTGTAGTGCATATCCATGTTTCAGTCCAAATTGTGATTCGAATTGAAAACTGTGGATCACTGTGTCGAGTGTTGTTTTAATGAAAACAATTTCTTGCAGTGTCTTACGATGAAGTATGAGTAGTAGATGAAGTTGTGGCAAGGGGCTCAATTTTAGGACACAAAATGGATGCCAGTGTATACATGTATGCTGCATTCTTAACAGCCAGGACCCAATATCATGGCGCTACTTACCACAGAATTCCGCGCTTACGATCTCCATTCTGTGCTAACCGAGCAAGCAGAAAAATTCTGTGCTAACCCTTTAAGCACAGAATCCATAGTTACGGGATGTACGAATGCGTACAAGCCAGAATTCCTTGCTAACCTGTGAAAAACGTTTGGCGTAAGCGCAGAATTTTCTGCTCCGGTAAGTGCCCATTTTTTGCCGTGAAATTGGCCCCTGATTGTACATGTACGTCACTCAGATACAGGTGAAAAAAAATTTCAACTTGCTGATATCCTGATAACCTACATATACGACAAGAGATGCACTCAATTATAAAGATGCAAACATTTGCACAAAGCAGCCTCCATTTCCACCTGTACACGATGACGAGCTGAGCCAATCAGAGCACAAGAAATTAGAATCAATAGGCCACAAGCAACCAAAAGAATTAATTTGTGAAGCCTTATGAGAGTATGGTCTGTCCTCGCAAACATGCACTTAAGATACAAAGTCTTCATACATCTTCTATCTCACCAATATGTGCATGCATGGTAACTCAAAGGGTACATGTACATGTAGGTCTGTCTTGACACTCCTTGAGCAGTTGATAAAACTTCAAGGGAGACCAGAGCCACATATAGAGACAGTTGCAACATAAGTGTCACCATTGCTGGAAACATACAGGCAAGTGTATGCACATCAGTGCACACATGATTCATGGCCATATTGGTTCCAAAGTCAGCACTACTCACTTTATTAACAGCTCTGCATGAGACTGCTGAAGGAGGCCCTCTGTTGACAGTGGTCGGGTGATTATCGACTCACAGCCATCAAATGACTGTTGAAAATCAGCCTCTCAACTTATTCTGTGGAGCCCCTTTGAGGGCAGATTTACTACCAGAGGGAGATTAAAGCCTCTTCAATTTGATTGTTATTCAGCAATGCACTACAAAATAAAATCTCAAGTTCCTTTACTCTGCAATGATACAAACCATGGTTCACTGCTTAAAAGCCTTCAGTCCTGTTGACTCCCTTGAAAATTCATAGCTCTGTCAGTGTCTGTCACTGCTCTTTTAACTTAGTTTCACAATGCTGACTCCTTATTTTAGCCAACATGCAACATTAAAATTAGATTTTTCTATTTAGAGCTGTTCGCATGTATCTATTTTTATAGCCCGGGAAGATAAGTGTGTCTATGCACTACGATGAACTGGTACGATATTCCATCAATATCATTATTGAAGATGTAAATAAGATTGCCCCTTATTGTAAATAAAAGAATGTATTTCATACACCAACAATGTATACCTCTCTGCAAATAAAATGTTACAATTTCAAAAAACTGTAGTGATATTAGTTTTTATCCATAAAATAGATGAAAGTTTGTTGTTGTGTGTGAAACTTCTTCGGGACTGCTACATGTGTATGTCACCCTTAATTCATAGATTCCTCAACTATTCAACCATTGGGTTTATTAAATATCTGTTAATTTGTGCATTTGTCTTCTATGGAAAAACAATGCAATCAAGCATGTGAATGGGCATGAACCCAAAAACCTGAAAATATTTTGTGATGAAATTAATCATGGGGAGACTACTGCGAGCGTGGAGCGCAAAGCCTTTACGACGTAGGGTCCGGGGCTTAAGGGGAAATGTTGGATTGTAGATGCTCTATGGTACAATCTGAGGCAATTCATGGCCCCTTTGCTTCTAATTTATTGAAGCAAAATCTTCACAATTATAAGGACATTTCTCATTTTCTAAAAATTACTCTGATTTTGTTTTAATAATTAATTGGACTTGTAAAACCTGTGATGTAGTTCGTTCTTCTTTCATGGAAGTGTTTGCGGTGCTTCTAGTACTTAGCTGCATGCTGTATCAATGCTTTCGCTCCGGAAGTACTGTACTTGATATGAACACAACACCACTCACGCCATGCTTCTCCAGGGTCGTAAAGCTTACGAAAGCAGTCGCCCACCACATGCTCATCTTCCATTTCAGCCAGTACTATAAAATAATTTGTCACACCACGACCAGTTCCACAGGTTTTTTACTAAGAGATCAATCTCTTTCGGATCGGCAGCCCCCTCGCTCAACAAACTTCAAGTCCTTTCCTTTTGCCATGATTTCAATGTTGTTTCCTGACTGCATGTGTGTACCTACGTACAGCACGGCACTTCGACTATGTACAGTACACGAACATGTACCAATTTCAAAAAGCCACTTCGCACATGGCTGGCCGGTCATGCAGCCTCAAGCCTCGCAGTGCTGCCAAGAATTTATGTCTCTATGAAATACGGACCCATTCAGAGTAATGTGCATGCGTATATATGATAATTAGGAGAATGGCCAGTCATGTGACAGGAATTAACCAATAACAGGTAAGAGTCTGATTTTTACGGGGTCAGATTTTTGTGGACACCGGGCATTCACGCAAAGTGGCTGTGGCGAAGCGCGAGCTCGCGCCAGCACTCTTCACTGGTTCCCTCCTTTGGTTACGCAAAGAGAATTCAGGTTTTGTGGGAATCCGCGAAATTAGTTCCTCGTACATTTCGAAGGGTCCCAAAGCATCGTGTAAATGGAATTGTTTCAACGAACTAATTTCACTAAGTTAAAGGGAAGTTTTGAGCGTCGCGGTCAACTAACATTTACCCCCCTACAACTTTCCCCCCAAATTTTATTCCATTTTTACAGTAAACTCGGAGACCACAAATTTGAAGGTGAAAAAAAAACGGAAAGATTCCCATGCCTCATACAAGTTAATGCAAGTTTGCACAAGTTTGGCGTAGAGTTCACTTTAATTGATATGCCTGAAAACTTGTTGGGTCATGGCATAGGTGTTGGCATAATGGCCCAATGTTGGCAAGCCTTTCTCTTTGCTACTACGAATTCAGCTTTGCTGGTTTTTGATTTGAAATGATTGCCTTTACAATATGCTCTGGGCACAGTACATGAGATGGCCTGTTTTTACAAAGCAACAATATCATTTTGATCGGAACTTGTCGCATGCTCAGCAGGTTCACATATACAACCAACTTCTGCTGCTATGTTCAGTCTTCACGCTTGTAATGGAAGCCAAGTTAAAAGTCTTTCCATCATCCAGCATCCTCGTCGTCACTGAGCAGGTGCTTCTAGTCAGCACAGATAAGGCCAGGTCCAAAGAACTTACACGCAGCTGCGACTTGACACTATATGAAGTGGCTGTTACCAATATAATGGCCTCGTGTGTAACTTTAAGCCACATCCAAGTATTTCAAACACTGCACAGAAATTCACCAGTCCAAATATCACATGACATGAAGTGGCTGATAGGTTTTAAACTAATACCTATCATTAAGAGAATCTATGAAACAACTGTTTTGCTAAACAGCTCAATAAAAATGGACCCCGGTGAAAGCGAGACTAGTTTGCTAGTGTGGGCCCAAGTAAGACCACTCAATACATAAGTTTTAACCAGAGATATAAGCGCTTTGAGCATAATGTGATTGTCTACAAAGGTTTGACATCTAGTGATAACAAAGTCAGACTCTGACTTACCTTGACGAAGTCTTGGAGTTCAGCGTTCTGTGCCTGAGTCTTCTTGAGCTTGCTCTTGGCTGCTTCCAAGGCCACCTCCGTCTGCCTCGCAAGCTGCTTCAGTTGCTGTCCAGCAGTCACCTCTAGCTCAGTGGAGATGGTCTCTGCCTCAGCTAGCTTGACGTGAGCATCTTGTAAGGACTTTACCTGGATAGTGTGCAACATTATGGAATAGGGAACTACTCAGAAAACGTTCCAATAATTTACCAAAACAGCTGGTCTCAAAAAAGTGTTGGTTTATTTAGCAAATCAAGGTGCGTGGTGGGGGAGACACAAATCCTTGATCTAGGAAGCAAAATACACTTGAGTGTTTGCAAATTATTTATCCCTAAAAGACCAAGAGTCAGTGCTGTATTTGAGTCCATCACAAGTCCTTGTAAGTCCATCAAAGTCCATCACAAGTCATTCAGTCTTAACCACTTTGAGCTGAATTCCTGGTACCGGAGATCTTAGGTTTATACGCAAAGCCGGGGTGCCCGAAATCAGACAAAAGAGCTGGTCCTTGGAATAAAAGACCATACTCGGAACATATGACCAACCTACCAGGAATTGCCAACATTTTTTCAGTTGTCAATAGCGGAGGTAATCCATCATTGTTTTGAAACAGTATACCACTATTTCTGGCATTCAGTGCGACCGAATTACGACTGGGGACAAAAGTACCCCAGCGCCTCAGGGATAAGCAATGCAATACTGCTGTGCGCTAATCTGGTCACATTTGAAAAGACACCAGCAGCACACTGGGTCAGTTTTGAGAACAAAAGAAAATTACATAACACCGCACAATCTGGGCTCTCTTTATAAGGCGGCAGGCATGGCTGAAATACTCGGGCGTCAATGGAGATTGCCTGTCAGATTAGAGTAGCCACCAGACAGTCATTCATGTTGGCGTAAATGTCCAGTAAATGAAGTTATGAATTTTTGAAGAATTTTGAAAACGAAAAATCTTGAAAATCCAGCGGGAACTTGTCATGCAACTTCAATTTAGACCCCGCAGCATATGGTTAAGCCAATTCACAAGCCATTCACATGAGCAGTGACAAATGCATTCTTTTGTCAGTGTTCACCCTGTTACTTATGAATGGCCTTGTGAAGGGACGGGGCCATTCTATAAATTAGGGGTTCATTTTTGTCTGTCTCCCTGTCACATCTGACATATGCTTTTATAAGTTCAGAACGCATTCTCTTCTGATTAATTAATGCAAATTACCTGCCAAACAAATAGAAATAATTTCAGAGATATTTCCAAAATTACTCAGGTCACGTGTAACAAGGACAAAAAAAAGTCACATTTTTAGACCCCGTTCAAAGATGCAAGGGATGTATTCATTCCATGGTCTTGGAGCCAAGTGGAAAGGCTGATAGTATGGCGCCCTCTTGAGACTGAATTTATAGAATGACTGCCACGAGACAGGCTTTTTGGGCCATCTCACAGCCAGGGATGACAGGTGTTTCTACCCCTATCCCCTCCCAACTTTGTTAGGTTTAAGGCTGATTTTTTACCAGAATTTATTCAAATTAGCTGACAGTCTCCCACATCTATCTGGAGGATAAAGTTAACGGTTAGGCTGATCGCATTAGCCATCTGTACTACTGATGAATCACAATATTTACCAAAGTGCATGATGAGATAGAATGAGGTCATCGGTGCATATAGTGTACTTCACCAACCAGTATAAGGGGCCATTACTGCAGCGGTACAATGCTCATGGACAGGTGGTATGACTGCATTACATGCCACTTTGATCAATAAGGTGTCGTGATCTGCCAAATGCACGCTTGCATCGAGCTGAAGGATGTGCATGTGAGTGCGGCGCCACCCTAGTTATGGTGTCTAATTGGATTAGTTTATATTGCCTTACACTGCCAGAAGCGTAAACAAGTACACTTATCCCTGTTTTCAAATGGCTGTCTTTTTGTATCAATTACTTTAAATCTTCCAGGGAATAAGATTGCCCTCATCACTTTATTGTGATCGATCATATATCTTCCATTTCCCTTACTCGTGGCATACAATAGACCGATTGCGCCTGCAAAGTCACATGACCTAAAGTGGGTATTAAATATCAACAAACACAGCATCCACCAAAAGCAAAGTGTTTCATAAGTATCATTTACCAAAAATAAAGCCAACGGTAGGTACCATACTCAGACTACTGATGTGCTGGGTACCACACTGCAACTTGGCTGTATTGTTTGTATATGTAAACAACACTCAAAACACACGTTGTTATGGGGTTGATACCCACTACAACAGGTCACGTGATTCAGCAGGTGCAATCGGTCTTTTGGACAGCCATGCACAACACAACAACGACCCCTATTCTATCCCACCATGCACTGCAGCAAACACTGTGACACATCATCAGCACACAGCGCTAATTCACACAGGACTTTGTCCTTCAGTGGTGTAATTCTTACTAACTATATGTTCCGGATTTTGAACAAATGTACTTGGGTGGGACTAGAACCTCTAACCTGCTTTTTGCTGCAGAGGTCTTACCATTCAATCATCAAGCTTACCAGTGTTGACTGACCAATAACACCTGTCTAATGGAAGTGTTATACTCTATTACCTTCCTGTCCAGCTCTGTCTTGCATTTCATGTACAGCTGTTCATAGTGTCGCTTCTCCTTGCTGACAGTGGACAGCTGTTTCCTGATAGAGTCAATCTCCACTCTCCTCTTCTCGTTTGTCTCAGTCAAAGCTGTGATTCTGTCCTCCAGTATTTCCTGAACACAACCAAGTTGGAAAAGTTTAAAGCCATCAAGTGATCCATTGAGCCCTATTCACAAAGCAAATGGACAACACTAGCCATTATGATGTTGCTCAACATTTTAAAGGGTATCTGCAACAGATTTTTGCAGGTGACCTAGTAAGGTCCTGATGAATTTCAGGCATAAAGTTTGTACGCTTGTGAAAATGATAACAAAAATAGATGACCCCTAACTTTATACTTTTCCCTGTTTTTTCTCTGTTCTTGAACTATAAAGCACAGCCGTAAGGTCAAGAAACTCTGGGGGACTAGAACGGTATTATGACATCATCAAATCACTAGATCTACTTGCCCCCCTCATCAACACATTTTTTTTTTAGAGTGAGCATTCTTGCGGAGGAACTGAACTCCAAAGTTGATGATTTTTTTATAAATGTGAAGAGAGCAATGACCAATTCCGTGTTAAATAACCATTTTACATCAAAGCAATGTGATTGATCTTTAAATGCTGTCACTTACCGTCGCCCTTGTTGCTACTTTGTTATCGCTGTCAATGGATCTGGCTCGAGCTTTCAGATCATCTATCAGTGACCTTTTCTGACTGATGTCTCTATCTTGTCTACTGACCCTGAGGACAAGAAGTACAAATCAAAGTTAATTCATACGATCAGTTGTTATCTCCAAATGTTCGTCATACTCAATTATTTTGAATTTCCTTATTATTCATTTATTTCATTTCATTCATTCATTTATTATTATTAGTCTATGTAAAAAAACAGAAATTTACTTTCCACTGGTATATTACAACAATCAAAAACTAAAAACTTAACAAATATTTTGAAAATACAAATGGTAAAAAACCAGTCACAAACTGACACAATACACCTCAACCTCAAAATGACCGAAAATCACACTACGTTTAAGATACTAAGCATACAATTACTGAAGACATTCCTACAGCCTAACTTTTGAATGGCATTCCAAGAAGAGATATTTAAAAAGAAACAGAAAGCAGTACGAGCGCTGGAACCCCCATAAACAACTCCTTAAAGATGCTACAGTGGGAGACTCGCTTAGTAGACGATAGATTACATAACAGTAACAATGAAAACGTAAAATGTACCGTTTTTACATTGCTATTGAAAGCATGGATGGCATTTTGAATGAAAGACTGTCTGAAACGACGAGTTGCCTTAGGAACACACAGTCGAATACCATTAGCAAGATGGAATTTCAGGCTATTCATGGTGAAAGACAGCAACAGGTGGAGGGGGGCTTGCGGTAGCACCATGCAAAGGAACATATCTCTTATGAGTAGGTGTGGTTCTGAAAAGAACCAGGAGTATACTCAACGTTTCGGACTGCGTGCTCAGTCCATCATCAAGAGACACTCCTGGTAGTTTTCAGAACCACACATACTCATAACATTCCTTCGCATGGTGCTACTTGAAGCCTTTCCACATAAAAGATAGCAAGTTGAGACAACGTAAAAACCAATGGTGCTCACCACCATGCAGCGCCCTAATAATACACATCTCTTAGAAACTGACAAAGATTTGAAAGTCATTTCAATACAATACAGATAAAGCAATGGCTACCTACTTTTCTTGGAGAGCTTTCACGGTTACATCTCTTGCCTCCAAATCTGCCTTGAGGGATTTTATGATAGTAGCTTGACGAGACACCTCACCTGACTGAGCCTGATAAAAAAGAAAATCTTTGCATAAACCTTTCCACTGTTTCCCAAATATCTCCCAAAATAATCTACAGTTATTTTCAACTAGGGACATGAACTTAAGGTGTTTGGTCCAGGGTTCCACACAACAAAATAAAATAAACTACAGTTTATTTTCAACTAGGGACATGAACTTAAGGTGTTTGGTCCAGGGTTCCACACAACAAAATAAAATAAACTAGGGACATGAACTTAAGGTGTTTGGTCCAAGGTTCCACACAACAGAAATACTTAGTATGTAAGCAACTCTACATACATTCAACTGTTGCTTACTCATTTATAGCAAACAAAAAAGAAAATTAGTATTCAGCTGAACTTAAAATTAGACGTTTATTTCTCTATTTTATTGGCCAAGTTCGATTTGTACACAGATACTTTCTGCACTTTCCACATTCACTGTCCCTGGATCATTTCCCCAACCACTAGGTTTAAATCAGATTTTACTTCCAAGAGTTCTTCTTCTCAACCTCAAACTTTTGTTTTCACTTAAAGGATGTGAGTGGCACAGGGATGGAAAGCCTTCTGTTTATCGATTCAGACAAGTTTTAAACCATTTGGCTATAACATTGGTAGTGACCAAATGTGTATCCTATCGGGGAGTTGAACGAATCTGGACTAACCTTGAGTCTGGTTTCCATCTGTTTGCGTTCCGTCTCGGCCTGTTTCTTGAATTCTGTCTCTCCTTCCTCAAGCTGTTTCTCAAACAGTGCCCTTCGCTGGTTGCTCTCTTCCAGCTCAGAGGTTAACCTCTGCCAACCAAAACATGCTTTAATAAATTCCTCTTTTGGGGGGCAGGGGTGAACGTCAGAATTTAATATTATGGGATTTGGTTTACCGATATAATTCTTTTTATCAACACTTTCAAAGCTTACTGATGACCTTGACCAATGTTGTAGTCGAGACAACTTACGACCTACAAAAGACCAACACAAGACGTCCAGTCTGTATTCAAGCCACAAGCTATTCAACTGAACTACAACAAATCCAGTGCTTATTTCCTGCTTTTTCTTCTTGCATATGGCACACACAGCCTACAGTGTCAGGTCAAGGGTAGTTATTATCCAGGTCACCCTTGACCTGACACTATAGCTTTGTGTAGCTATCTAGTCAAGGGGAGCATGGAGCTAGCTGGGTCCTACCTGGACGGTTTGTCTCGACATCTTGAGGCGTTGATTAGCCAGGTTAAGATCTGACTGTAGCTGCTCTGTCAACTCTTCCTGTTCAGTCACAGTCCGCTGTAAGGACGTCTTAGATTCCTTCAGCAAGGACACCTTAACAAGACATAGCGACTGAGTTCATTACCTATTCTGTTAACATTCTATGGCTGTGTACATAAAAACTTTTGTTGTTCATGAATACATGTGGCACTGCCGGTACATTCCACCACGGACTCTTTAGAAATTCTGTCCTTCAAAATATTCATCTCTACCTTTACTCAGCAGCACAAGGTTTCAATCTAATAGCATTTCAAATGGCAAAAGCAGGTGACGTTAAAAAGCTAACTTACAAAATATGGGTGTACTATGTTATCCAATGCAGACAAAATTAGGAATTAAATATCAAGAAATATATAAAAATGGAGAATAAACACATCACACAGTTTGGCTTGGTTTTGTGCCGAAGAAGTAAACCAGATTTCCCTGATGTTTTAGATCACCTGTTGTTGTAGTGAGGTAACTCTTTGCTTGAGGCTGGCAAGGGAAGGCCCACTGGCGCCTGCCCCTTGTGACCTCCGACTGATGTTGCGAGCCAATCTGGTCAGGGGAACATGAGGCGAGGTACCAACATCTCTCAGCTCAGTGTCTGCAAGAACAGGTAAGCAACAAGTTGCTGGATGAGGCTATGTCTGACTAGGGTACTGGCTAAGGCTTGTCACAATAGTATGCCACTGACAAAGCAACAGCCACAGCCAAAACACATGATATGATTAGGACAAGACCAAATGTTGACCGAACCTAATAAAATAGCCGCAAGTCACCAGAGCCACTTTTGACTTAAAGGCCTTAGAATGAATCTTGCATAGTATAAATCAATAGGAACCTATAACACTTAACATCCTCATGATGCCCATTGCTATCAGGATGCTAAAGTTAAAAATGGCTTTTGAATTCATTCTGCAGAGGTGAGATTGAAGGAAAATAAAACATCCACCAAAAATCATAAATAGCGTAGGGTGTAAAAATGCATTTCCCCAAAATACCTTTTGCTTGTGATCTACATCAACTTTTAAGTATGAAAGCATTTTAACAGCAAACATGGGATTTTCCAGACTTTGAAAGAGATGGAAAAAATCCTGAAATTAGGGAAAATCCTAACCAATCTCACCCCTGATTCTGTGTGATCCAGTCTTCAGTGTCCAATCAGAAGGGTAAAAATGTGAATCCTCATTCTCCATACCTGATTGCTCTGTGAGAGTATTATCCGTCATGGTGCTACAACTAGCTGTGGAGTTAGGTGTCACGCTGCTTATAACATCATCATTTATGAGGTATTCACCAACGCCAGCATCAATCATACTAGCTTGGAGAACTAAATGGGAACACAGCAAGTTCACATCATATTAAATAAGGACAAAGGCATCAAAATCATAGTAACTCAAATGTTTCTTCAAGTTTTCATCAGACCCTGGAATGACAATTATCTCAAATTATGAAACTTTTAGAGCTGATTTTACACTTTGAAAAAGAATTTAAAGCCTACCCACACCTAAGAGCATTTGGTCAATTTTAATATAGCTTGTTCTATGGACAGTTTACCTTGTTTTTATTCTTAATGTGACTGGCAAATTTGGGGAGGAAAAATTGTTGCGCAAAGAAAATATACCTCTCTCTGTTTGTGTCGCTACTGACTTCAGAATGACGTCTCTGACGGGGTTGTCTTCATATGCCTGGGCCATCCGACGCAGGTGTTTCTGAATAGACAAGAGCTAAATACAAAAATGGTAATCTGTAACTCTGTGATCAGATAGCCTATTGAGAATGAACAGTCCGTTGAAAAATCAATCATTCAATCAATTTATTAGAGACTGATTAAACTTTCAAAACCTGTTATGTGCTTAGAACAAAAAAGCTAATTTCTTTGAACTAGTTTGAATTAGATTCGAATTAGATTCATCATCAGATGTCAGTGAACAAATCTAAATGCAATGCCTTTATTTTCATTGGACAAGTTCTGACAATCAGTCTTCTGATTCAATTCAAGTGAAAATACACATTCCTTGGGGTCTTTGTGAAAAGAAGCTTATCTGCATGTTGAGCTTAATCAGTATCAAAAACCTCATCGCAACGACAACCTAAGATATCATTTTGTTTCTGAGATAATAGTTCAATTATTCTGATCAACCTATCTCAGCCAGGCCTACCTGTCTTGCAGATGGTGATAATTTGTCAGAGCCCCTACGTCTTCGTCTTGGTGTGTGGAACATATCCGCAGAGCGAGATGTCTCCACGATCTGCTGGCCCAAACTTTCAAGGGAGGTACTTTCCTTCGGACTGATAAAATGGAACGGAAAACATTAAAAATACAAATTTAAGTGCAACCAATCCTCCTCAAAGCAGGCTAACCATACCACAATTCCGGCTTGGGGTGATAGCAAAAATGATTACAAGACTAACGATCTGTAATACAAGATGACAAAGCAACATGACACACTCTTTCTACAGAGTTTGTTTCCTGATCATACTTGTTCTCGTGAGAATTAAAATATCCAGAGCTTGTGTCTATAATCCTTTTACACATTTACAACCATAATTTTCTTTTAAAAAAATTAATAAACCCTACTGGCTACCTCTCAATGCAACAACAAAATTTAGTGTCAACAGCCTTACATTTTGAAAAAAATACTGATCAAAATGTGTTGACTGTTTTACCTGTCGGAGTTATTCATTTCGTCCCAGTCGTCACTGCCAAACCCAGGGAAAATGGAGCTCATTTCTTGTATTGATCGATTCAGAAGAGCCTGGTGCTGAGGAACAGACAACCGGGGGGGAAACATTTTTGCAATACATCATGTTTGAAAAAACAACTTTGATTGTCCAAAAATATTGTTCGTATGGATGGGGAGACTGTGGTGAAGCAGAGCAGAGTTCCATAGGTCAATGGTTACCATAAACTCACAGGTAGTACATGAGTTCAAACCCTATCAAATTTGGGTCACGGTGCTTGTGTTCCTGGGCAAGACATTTTAGGGAGCGTTTCATAATTGTTGAAGGCGGTATTTACTGTGGTACCACTGTTTTTTTTAGCGGCACCGCACTAGTTACCCGAAAGGGCTTAATGCTGGTACCGCAAAAAACAGCGGTACTGCAGTAAATACCGCCTTCTGTAATTTTGAAACGTTCCCTAATTAGGATTGCCTCTTCACATCCTTTGTCTTTACCCATAAGTGGTGTCATGGATCAACTCCGTAATAATTGGGAAGCACTTTGAGACCTTTGTATCAAGTACAATATAAGCATCCTGTCGAATACACTTTGTAATTGCTGTGGTATTTCAACTGATTCCGAGATGATACCAACCTCCTTGGTCATCTTACTCCTTCTGAATGACATCCCTCCCACCGTGTGCCTCTGCCTCTGCTTGAGGTGCTTCAGCTTCTTCTTGAGATGGTTGATAGTTCCTCTGAGTTCTAGCATCTTGGATTCTTTCTGGGCTTCAACGGCTCGTTGCTTGGATACACCCATTCTTAAGGACCTTTATTTGTTGACACAAACAGGAAAAAACTGCATCAATCAACTGATTTACAATCCACAAATGGAACTCTTCTGACAAGCAAGGGTATATTTGGCCACTTTGACCTGGATGACAAGACCAAGAAAAAAAAATGGTCAAAAGGGATTAACCCTAACCCTCCTCAATCCTCCAACAGGTGAAGGATTCAGGAGGGTTAGGGTTAAGATT